CTACCATTTTTCCAAGGCAAGACTTAGCACCTCAGGATCCCGAAACCCAGGATTTGGGATATTAAGATCCTGAAATCCTGGGATTCAAAAAAAGCACCGGGATTGCAATCCCTAATTGCAAGTGGCAAAGGCTGTAAAGAAACCCAATAACATGCCGGGTTTTATACACAAAGAGGTAGAGTACAATAATTGAGGAATAATGCTAAATTTGTGGGAAATCTTTGGTTAGGCAGCAACTGGAGTATTGCGTCCAGTTCTGTGCTCCTCACTTCAGGAAAGATGTTAAAGCCTCAGAGGGAGTGCGGAGGTTTGTGAGAATGATTCCAGGGATGAAGATTGGAGAACCTGAGTCTGTTTTCATTGGAGCAGAGAAGGCTGAAGGTGGCACCTGATTGAGATGTACAAAATGATGAGGGGTTTTGACGGGGGTAAATAGAGAGAAGTTATTTCCATTGATAGAGTATTCAGTGAGTGGGGGACACGGGACAATTTTTTTCACCCAGAAAGTAGTTGGGATATGGAAAATGGCCTGCTGAGTAAGGTGGAGGTGAAGTCCATTATAGCTTTCAAGATGGAAATAAACAGGCATATGAAAGAGAGTCTTAAAGGGGTATGATGGCGGTGGGATTAAATTAATCTCCTTGCTTTGTGAACTAGTGCAGACTCGATGGACCTCCTTTTGTGCTGTAGATGTCTACGTTTCTAAATTCCAGGCAGTGCAGTGGCATTGACTATGTCAGCCTCAAATAGGATTTCTCCATTATAAATGTGACGGTTAATCTCCCCTTATCCCTTTATTTCCCTACCTTCAAAACCCTCTTTAAAAAATACTGTTTTTGGCAAGTGTCCTCAAATTTCTCATCTTTTTTCGGCTCAATGATATTAAAGGTACTACTTAAGTACAGTTTTGTCATGGACTGAAGCAACTGAGCTACTAAGATTTTGAGATGGAAGGAATGCTTGCACAGAATGCAGGAAAATGAGAACAGCACAGCAGGAAATCTATAAACTACAAAACTACATAAAGCATGACGGATTGGGTTAAGGGAAAGTTGCTCACATGCCAAATATGTAAAAGGTTATTTTTTTTAAAGTATTGGCAAGCCATAACAGAGATGCATGCAGAAATGAAGGGTGCGTGTGTACAATAAATCCATTAATATGTGGTAGGATCCCACTGAAGAAGTCATCATTTTCTTTCCTGACAAATGTGTGACTGGTTTGCCAAGAAATGTTGTTTGGGTTAAGACTTCAAGAAACTAGATTAGAGATTGCTGATGTGCACATATTTTGAATTTCTGCCCAGTTAGTCATTTGTTCAGCAATTTGTTTCAAACAAAAGCATACAAATGTGATTCGCCATTGAACAGGCACTGTTGTTTTTAGCTGCAATTTGTCATTGGCTTGTCTATAATTAGTGCACTGAACAGTAAAATGCAAATAATCAGGAAGGTTTTAATTTTGAATAATACCCTGGAGTCTCCTAGCTCAGTGGTCAGAAAACTCACCTCATAAGTGAGAGGACCTGGGTTCGATTCCTGGCAGAGCAAAACACTGGGCAAGTTACCCCACGCACATTCCTCTGTCTACCTAGCAGTAAGTAAGAACCCGGTTGTTAAGTCGATTGGCAGATCGCTTTACTGGGGTTAATAATTCCTTCCTTCAAAAACAATTGGTGACTTAATCCACGACTGTTTGTGGCCACCACTGTGCGCAATTGGCTGCTGCGTTTCGCCCACAAAATATACAGTCAATTCACTGTACAGTATATTCCGTGAAACGTTTTGAGATATCTCGAAGATGTGATAAGGCGCTATATCAAATGCATGGATTATTATTAACCAGACTTAGTTGGTAGCATTCTTTCCTTTGGGTTAGAAGGTTGTAGGTCAAGTCCTACAACTTTAACTTTAACAAATGAGACTTTAAGCACTATGTCAAGACTGACACTCCAGTCCAGTATATTTAGCATATGCTAAATTGTTGGAGATGGATGAGGCGTTAAACCGAGGTCCCTTCTGTTTGTGTGGACATGTGGAGTCCTGTAGCTCAGTGGTTAGAACACTCGCCTCACAAGCGAGAGACCTGGGTTTGATACCTGGCAGGGCGAAACCACATGCCTGATAATAATCCCTCAAGAAAAATAAAACAATAATAATTCGGTCACTTCAGCCTAAGGCTGTTTGTGGGACACTGCTGTGCGCAATTGGCTGCCGCGTTTTGCTCACAAATATACAGTCAATTTACTTCACAGTATATTCTGTGAAGCGCTTTGAGACGTCAAGAAGACATATAAAGCGCTTTATCAAATGCAAAGATTATTATTATTATTAAAAGTTCCATGTCTATTCAAAAGAAGGGTTTTTCTTCTGGTGTTCTGGTCAACAATGCCCTAGATAAAATTGGTCATTCACTTTACTGTGGATTGTTGGAAATTGCTGCTCACCAATTATGATTGCTGCAGTTGCCTACAAACACACAGTCACCAACACGTTACAGAAACTTTATGACGTGATTGGTACAATGATACATAGTTACCACACTCAAACACTATTGAATGTTGAGGCAGGTTGAAGAATTCACTATTTACATTTGTGTAATCCTAGTTAATAATAATCCTTGAATCTGATTCAAACATAGTGCTATAACAGACATTCATAAACCTCTCCCTGTCCACTAGTACCGTTCCACCCCTTCATTCCTAACCTTAAAAAACCCTCCCTGGACGCATTCCTGCTCTCAACTACTGCTCGATCTCCAACCTTCCTTTCCTCTCCAAGATCCTGGAACGAGTTGTTGCTTCCCAGCTCACTCCTTCCTCTCCTGCCACTCGCTTCACAAACCACTCCAATCAGGTTTCCTGTCCACAGCACAGATCAGCCCTGGTCAAAGTGACAAATAACATTCTATCCATCTGCAACCAGAGCTCCCTCTGCCTCCTCGTCCTTCTTGACCTCTCTGCTGCCTTCGACACTCTATCACACTTCCCATCACACAAAGGATACACTTCGAGATCCTGGTCCTCACCTTCAAAGCTCTCCATGGCCTTGCTCCCCCATACTTCTGCGATCTCCTAAATCCCTACCATCCTGTCCGCTCCATCTACTCAACAGGCTTCCCTAACATCTCATCAAAAAGACAGCACCTCCAGAAATGCAGTGCTCCACAGTACAGTATTGCACCGGAATGTCAGTCAAGGCTGTCTCTGTGCTCTGACATGGGACCTGAACTACAGCCTTCCGACCCAGAGTTGAGAGTGCTACCAACTGAGCCAATTTGACAGTTATACTATACCTGTTAGACGACATCTGTAGAAGCAGACAGATACCAACTTTATTCAAGGGTAGTGAATGAGTGCATAGAAAACAGAAATCTGATAAAAGATAATGCTGGCAGATCAATGACGGATTCTAGGAACTGGTATTAAAAGAAAAGCAGTAACTGAACCACTCCTGAGTTACACCCATTTGTGTGAGATCACTGACCACAGTCCATATCCCACTGACATTATCTCGTACCTGTCTGCAATGAGAACAAACATCAAACTGTAGAGTTTAGAAGTGAATGAGTTCATTTTCATTTTGAAACTTCTAACATCTAACTTATTCTTGTCTTTGTGGTTTAAAGATACCAGTGAGAGGCTATAATATAATTGTTTCTTTCAGCTCTTGTTGGCATGATTTTACAGTGTATACAAGCTTGCACAAAGGATCTCTGAGGGTGAAGTACTGTATTGGTTTTATTTTTACTGATGGCTCAGTGCATTATAATGCTTAATGTTTAACAGCAATAAAATGATTAGTAATCTCCATTATTCTGTTGGTAAAGCCATACCGAATGAACATGAGCCATACAGAAAGGAGCTGAAGGTTACAAGGTTCAATTCTTTTACTTCAGCGATCTCATCTTGGGCAGCAATCTGCATTATAGGTGCCAAAAAGACAATGAAATTGTCTTATCAACTTATGTTTCACCCACAACATTTACAGTCAATTCACTTTAGAGTATATCCTATGAAGCATTTTGAGATGTCTTGATGGTGTATATTCAAATGCAAGGTATTATTATGATTATTATGTAAGTTCTAACCGTGCTGAGTACAGTTCCAGAAAAACAATTGGCAAAATACAAAACTGTCAGTGTTTACATCATGTTATTGTTTTGCACTGAAACAAAATGTTGAGCTGTATGTAGTTTGTATTCATGGCATAAAGATAGAAATCTATTTAAATTCAAGCGAGCGTAGTCATAATCAAGTAGGATATCATCACGTTGTACAAAGAGGACGGAGGATAATAAGTTTCAAATGAGAGTAAATCATTCGTCCATGAAGCCTACTGCTGGCTATTTCCTCCTCCCTCAGGAAGTAAACAAGATAGAGAATTCTCAACAATGCAAATTATAAATGGATAAGTGGGAGGCTGCTTCGTTTATGCTTAACTGATTTCTGAGTGTCTGTCCTGGCATGTGCATTGTTTTTAATGTTATCCCGTATGTGGATAAATCCCCCTCCCTCCCGATTGTCTCAAATAATGATCATCTACATCAGAAGCATCTACATTTGACTTTTGGTAGCTTTCCTCCCAGCCTTTGTTCTACTCCCACTGTTTAGGTAGCAACAATCACGGTAAAAACTATTTTTTTAAACGTTCTGCGTTAATGCTTAATAAAAATTCATGGTGGCAAACGAGTAGTAGTGAGGCTCAGGCCATGATTGGATTTCTCACACAGATACGAGGAGGTATTAAACAGAACACAAATTGGGATGGAGAAAAGGAAATATTGGACCTGTTACTAGAATTCTCTCAGGTTGCCACTTGCAAGTGGCATTAGCAGCGAACTTAAGAGCATTTAAGCAAGTAAGATATTAGATGCTGGGGAGAAAATTACAGTAGAAAACAACAAATTGTGTTTGAAATTGTGAAAGAAAAACTGAATTTTCTCAGATTTGTTCCTCCAGCTTAATTTAAACCGTGTTTATATACGTTTTTATTTAACAGGGTGCAGGAGACAGCTTTGTGGGAGCTCTAGCATTCTATATTGCTCAGTATCCTCATCTGCAACTCGATGAGATCACAAGAAGAGCCTCACACATTGCATCGATGAGTGTTGAAGCACACGGAACACAAGGCAGCTATGTATCGAGAAACAACCTCCCAGAGGACCTCTTCTAAGCAAAATGACATCTTTCAGGGGAGGGGGAAGAGATGAAGCATTCAAACTAGTTGGTATAGTCGGTGTATATATAAAACACATTTTATTGTGAATTCAAGAAAACTAACAGCAAATTGTTAATAAAGACTTCAAATCCTATTTTCTTATTTGCCTTTTGTTCTATCACCATCTTCATACAAAAACGTCTGAGTCTCATTCGATTCTGAACAGTCCTGTATGGAGCCAGTCCATTTAAACTCCGAGTTTGTTAAATTGATTTGATTTTCTTCTTTTCTAAAAAANGGACATGCTGGTTTACTGCAACAGAAATAAAAGTGTGGTTAGACATTGCAGAACAAAGCTTAGAATAGCAATCTTTAATTTCTCTTCCATTTCTTCCCCAAAGGACAGTTTCTACTAGCAACTACCAGTGTGGTCACGTCCCTGAGAAAGCTTTTAATGTACACTTTGCTTCCAAGCTGAGAGCCAGGGGAGTGGGGATGGGGTTGGGCATTGAAAAAGGAAAACGGTAACTAAATAAAATAATTAACCTCAAAGAAGCTTACTTGAAACAAACGACTACAATTATGCTGGAAAATGATGTTACAAGTGAATCTAGCAACTGTCACCAAGCAGCAAGGCATCAATGGCCAACAGAGGCACAAAACTTTTGGAAAACACTTTAAGTTAATCTTTCAACAATGACACCTATGATAATGCTGATCTCTACATTTTTTCAGGTCTTAACAAGTGAAAAGAGACTGTATTTCAACCCAGCTACTGTATAAACATCACTGTAAAGCACGAGTGTTTTTCTCAACCCTTTTTTTGCCCAGGCATTTTGTGGAACCGCACCTATCATTAAACGTCTCTTAAACATGATGTAAGTGTCTTAAGCTCTTTAAACACACCCAAACAGAGTTCTTCAAGAATGACCTGCACGCAACTACAGCACTGTCCAATTTTTTCCACGTCAATATGCACTTAGTTATTTAGAAATAGCTTTGCTATATTTGCATAGCAACTGATTATTAATATGAATATTTTTTCCTAAAGCATTCTAAATGCAGGTAATTGGAGAGAAAGAGCAAGTTAGCAGCAATTTTATCAATCTCTTGTGATGTCAAATCCTTAAGCCTCAGAGCTTACAAAGCCTAAAGATTTATATTTCTGTTCTGTATTGAATGTTCATTATTTTGTTACCATCAGGACATCTCCCACTTCTCTGCTCGCCTGTTATCAAGGCATCCCAATAAGTACCACAGTTCTTCAACTTCTGGTATAGAAAAGTCCTTTAGAAAATTAATTTGGAGTCTTGAGTGATAAAATTTTGGTCCCTAACAATCCATCAGTTTAATGAAATCAAAGTAGGCAAAAATAAAAAGCCCACAAATTCACTAGTCATGTACAGTAAAGCTAACTTATACAGCACAGGTTTTGTGTTCAACTTGATTTTCTGCCACTTTGTTCCTCTTCAGACTTAGGCAATCCTCCAATCCCCAGTATACCTAAAGTGGGATTTTATCGGTTGGGAAGATCTAACAATAGACATAAATTTAGCTCTCGGGCAGGGTTGTACAATACACTCGCCACGTGTGGAGAATTGGCAAACCAGAATGGGGTTAAATTGCATTTTTGATCAGTAAATAAAAAAGAGTAACAGATGCTGTCATTGTGCATGTTATCTCAATATTCATATTCACGTGGTGTACTTTGATCTTTTTGTGTGTGTGTTGGTCAGACGCTGAGACGAAAAGCAGCGTCTGCAAGTGTTTTTTGTTTGCTGTGTGCACTTTACTTCCTTGGTTACCGCGTATTGACTTATCTGCTAAAATGGTGGGTAACACGGGTGAAAACGCCAGATTTCAGCGCAATGGAAACACCAGCAATAGTGTATGGAGAGGAGTTGCAATGGTCCACTCGGTCAATTGGAATAACCAATTCAGCAGAAGCAAGCCCAACCAATAACGAGCAGCTCCCAACAGGGCACATCACAGCAAAGGGCAAGCAGCAACACTCGCCTCGCAAGCGAGAGCACCTGGGTTCGATTCCCGGGCAGGTCGAAACGTTGGGCAAGTTTCCTTATCCCACGCAACTCTGTTTACCTAACAGTAAGTACAAACCCAGTTGTTAGTCGATTGCTGGATCGCTTTTCTGGGGGTAATAATCCCTTCAAAATAAAAAAAAGTGGTCATTCAATCCATGACTGTTTGTGGGACGCTGCTGTGCGCAATTGGCTGCCGCGTTTTGCTCACAAAATATACACTTTACAGTATATTCTGTGAAGTTCTTTGAGACGTCTCGAAGACGTGATAAGGCGCTATATCAAATACAAGGATTATTATTATTATATTCTCTGCATGAAGATCAGGGATGGGCCTGGTGCGTCTTGCGAAAGAAAAATAAAGACTGCAAAGTTTCTTGGACTGAAAGAAGACAAAAGGGGGAATGGTGCTAGGAATGTTTGTTAAAACATTTACCAGCCGAGCCAGGCTAACATCAACGATACAATCCGCACAAGTCCAACAGTTCTCAGCTCAGCTTCTCAGCACAACCACTGAGGAAGTGTCTGCCTCCAGGACATGTGCGACCCAGTTGGTGTTAATTATCATACGGTGGCCAGATTCAATATGTTACTTAGTACCTCAGTGTTAATTCACACATTAACAACAGGATAGTTTTCACCCCATCAAAGGCAAGAGTCCAAATCGGAGTCGTAAACCTCCATCACCTGCAGCCCACCCACGACAGGAGCGTATTATTTACCTATAGGATCATGTTTTCTCAGGATCAGTTTTTCCCTTTGTCGGCTCCTCTTTGCATTAAAGCAGTAGCCAGTGCCTGCAGCACTCACCATCTTGACCAGGATGCTCCTATGAAGAAGCAGTAAGACATTAAGACAGTAAGCATGTACATCATCATTAAAGCTGGAGACAAACTGCAAATTTACCGATTTAATACAATTAACCATTAGCTTTAAACAAAGTTAGTATTATAATATTAATAATCCTTGTATTTGATAATGCGTGTTGTCACGTCTTCAAGGCGTTTCAAAGTGCTGTATAGAATATACTGTAAAGTGAATTGACTATTTGTATTATTAATTTTTAATTAATTAGGTAATTATTTTCATTATTATTATTAATTATTTTCTGGGCAAAACACAGCAGACGCTTGCGCACAGCAGTGTCCCACAAACAGTCGTGGATTGAGTGACCAAATTATTATTATTTTGTAATTTTGTTTTGAAGGGATTATTACCCCCGGAAAAGTGATCCGCCAATCGACTAACAACTGGATTCCTAATTACTGCTAGGTAATGTGGAGTTAGGAAACTTGCCCAAAGTTTCACCCTGTGTGGGAATCGAACCCAGGTCCTCTAACTTGCGAGGCAAGTGCTCTAACCAAATCCAAGTAGGTGTGAGCTTTTAAAAACCAAGCTGGTTCAGTAAAGATCAATGCTATAATTCCCAGAATGTATGGTGTTCCATGTCTGAAATTCATCACTGAAATAATTTAGTTTTGCTTAACCAGATATCTGACACGTGCTTAAGAATCTCAAACCAAACTCGTGAGAGTTCCACATACAGTATACGTGGTTTCCATTTGGTATGGAGTGTGCCCTCTCTGCCCAGAGGGACACACCCTTCTTATCTAATCCCAGAGAGTTCTGGTGCAGGCTGGCAAGAGCCAAGGCTTGGGGAGCTCCATTGGCACACTGCTAGAGTTTAGGTTTCCATCTTTTTTGTTGCCAGCTGGGAGTCTGACACACGCTAAGACGAATCCAGCTATACATGGAAATTCTCTTGTGTTTCACGTAACAGTTTGGCATTGTAACTACTGGTCGGGCAAGCTTCCCACTTGCCATTAGAGGGAGACCCTACCCATTAGAGCTTTGACTTGCAGCGTTAACTGAAGCCGAGTGGAAAGAATCCTAGCCCCCAGTGACTGGTCTGCTCCTTTAAGTCCTGCTGCTGAACCAAGCTGGCTGGTCTGGCAAAAACAGTACGTTGGAGTAATACAGACCTGCTTGGCTCAGGAACCAGACTACTGAGACTCCCACACGGCCATTGCCAGGTGCAGCACCTTGGAGCCAATTCAGACCCACAGAGACTCTCCCCAAAGCTCAAGTATTCACTCCCTGAAAGCAGATCCTGCTCGGTGAATGAATACTTGAACATCTTTTTTAAAAGGATATTGGATAGAGTCTTGAGGAGAAGGAATATTAAAAGACACGGTGAACAGGCAAGAATGTGAGATTCCATCAGTTTGTGGGGAGACTTGAGTCGAATGGTTGATTTCTGTGCTGTGACATTAAGAATAACTTGTATTTATAAGCCCTCTCCATGTAAAAATAAATATTTCAAACCGGTTTAAAAAACAAAATTCTACTCTTCTATATGAACTTGTAACTTTTTTGTTCCGAGAAGGGTGAAATTATTGTCAGAGGTATGAAAGGCAATAACAGATTGTACGTTTTAAGTGCTAAACTCTGGAAACGACTGCCTTATACTGTACATATCAGTACAACAACAACACCAACAACAAGATTTCATTTATAGAGCGCCTTTCATGTCGGGAGGACATCCCAAGGCGCTGTACAGTTGGGTCAGGACCCGAGCAGGGGGAAATGGTCAGGGTGAGGGGAGGGAAGGGAGGGAGCGAGGAGGGGGTAGAGAGTCGAGAGGGGAGCAGTACACCTCTCAAACGAAGACAGTCCTCAAACAGCATCTTTTCTACCAGTTTCGCCCGCAAAATATATTTAGTCTATTCTGTGAAGTGCTTTGAGACATCTCAAAGACATGAGAAGGCACTATATCAACTGCAAGGATTATTATTATTATAACATAGAGAACTATGTTGAAATCATAATGCACAGTCTTTATTCAAGGAACCCTCATTAATGCAACAATAATGTGCCATGGGAATACTGAATTGCAAAATAATTTAACATGAAACATTCTTGGGAAATCGTTTCTGGTAAGCAAACAGAGATGGCAATATCTGGTGAGATTACCGAATAGTAACCTCAGTCAGCAGCTATTTTACACCCCTTCTCTCTTCTCCCTCCCTCTCTCACCCACTCCCCACCACTCAGCCCACCTCGCCATTCCTATTTCTCATAACTTCCGAATTAAACACTTTACTTAGAATTCTGTACACAGTAAAAGAGTTTAAAACAGACATATAATGGTGCTAGTTACACCGCCTCAGAAAAAAATATTTCCGGACAGCACTTTCAAGGTAAAAGATAATAATAATGATTCTTGCATTTGATAGAGAACCTCATCAGGTTTTCGAGAAGTCTCAAAGCACTTCATAGAAGATACTGTAAAGTGAATTGACTGTTTATTTTGAGGGCAAACACGGAAGCCAATTGCGCACAGCAGCGTCCCACAAACAGTCGTGGATTGAAGTGACTTTTTTTTGTTTTTGAAGGAATTATTACCCCTGGGAAAGCCATCCACAACCGGATTCCTACTTATTGCTAGGTAAACGGAGGTGTGCGGAGTAAAGAAAGTTGCCCAACATTTCGCCCTGCCCGAGAATTGAACCCAGGTCTCTCGCTTGCGAGGCGAGTACTCTTAGTTTGGTAGTTTCTCCTCAAGAACCTATTCCACATTTCAGTCTCCAGCTCTCAGCGGACATTGTTTTTTTTCCCTACAAGTGGCTTCCTTTGTGTGGGAGAGGTTTAATTGTCATGTTCCTGTACTGCAATATACTTAACTTCCCTCAGACACTCTTCTGAAGCTATGGGGCCTGTGAAAACAATAGCCACTACACAGGCAGACAGCTGTCAACTTGGATTTTATGAGCAAACTTGTTTTTTACCGAGTCAATTTTTAATGAGATTAACTCGGGGAAAATTTTAACCCAATGGTTTACTTTCTTTCCCAAGAAGGGAGGGATCAGTTTAAGAGTTCAAACTGAGTCTGATGTAAAAGCCACACAATATATCAATGTAATACCCCAGGCAGTACATTGTGTACCATGAAGTGGGAGGACCTAAATTTGTGCTTGTGACTCCAGTGGAATTGTACAGGGGCTAAATACAGGCAACAGAGAGCTAAAGACAATCTTTGTATACAATTGCTGGGTTAAATGTAATTACTCAGCCATCCCTTAGCATTGGCCTGAGGCATGAGAGCCAGTGTCTTTTAATGAGAACAGAGGTGAAGGCTCAAGGTTTGTGGTACACAACACAACACGACCAAAGGTACAAAGAGTAGCAGAGAAAACAAGGTACATCAAGAAGGAATTGTCATACACCAAGCGTGGGTTTCATAATCCTACCCAATGACCTGGTATCAACGAAGGAGCCTGCTTTCTCCTGCATAATGTTGAGTTTCACGAGTACTGTTGCTGCTATTTGCATCCAGACAAGTGGTATTTCATCACACTCTTGACTTGGCTCTTGTAGATGGTGGAGATGCTTAATGGGAAAGCCACTTGTCATTGAGTTCGCAGCCTCTGCTATATCATAGTGATTATATGTCTGGCCCAGCAAAAGTATTGCCTTTGGTGACCCCCTGATGTTCGTCACAGGGACATGTTGATGGTTCTGTCGATGAAGATCAGGGTTCTCTCTTGATAGGAAAAACCATTGCCTGCACTTATCAGTCAGGGATTTTAACTGCTACTTGTCAGACCAAGCTTGGATGTTATGCAGGTTTTGCTGAAAACAGACATGGGCTGTTTCATTGTTGGAGGTGTTGAGAATAGAGCTGAATACTGCAGAATCATCAGTAACTAATAATCTCATTCCTGACATTATGTTGAAAAGATCATTGATGGAGCACTGGAGATAGCGGGATCAAGGACTCCCTAAGGGAGTCTTGCACCAATAACCTGGGCTATGATGATTGTTCCCTCATAGCTACAATAATTTTCCTGAATAACCGAGGAAAGGGGTCCTTCCCAGTCTGCTCCTGTTAACCCTGAAAGCCAAAGCCCTAATGAGTGGGGTGGTCCTAGCTGGCCAAGCAGCGGGAAGCTTACTGGTGAGTGCTCCCAGTTGCAAACGGCACAGTTTTAGCTGTCAGGACCCCAGTGGACAATCTGGGGCCCCCAAACCCTAGCTCTCCCCAATCTGTGTCCAATACATGAAGCAATTTGGTAAGCAGGGGCATCAATTCAGGGAGAGAGCACACATCCCATTCCAAACACAGGGACATGTCCAAGTGTAGGTGGCATGCATTTGTGGATCTCTGAGTCTCATCTGGATACTCTTAAAACATGGGGATGGGTTTCTCCATGTGTCAGATACCTGGCTAACCTTCCTGCATCTGTTTCCAGTTATGAATTGAGGATTTTAACTTGGACTTCAGTTTTGCTGGGCGTCACTCAGTTGAATGCTGCTTTGATGATGAGGGCAGTTAAGTCCACCTTTACTCTGACATGTTTGGATCAGGGTTGTGGTAAAGATTGTTTCTGACAGAATCTAAACTGAGTAAATCCTCGCCTAGAAGGTGCCGCTTAATAGCACTGTTGACGTGGATGTCAATTTGAGTGGCAAAGTTGGACACAACTCTCAGTCATGTGCATAATAATCCTTGCATTTTTGATATTTGATATAGCGCCTTATTGCATCTTTGAGACATCTCAAAGCGCTTCACAGAATATACTTTAAAGTGAATTGACTGTATATTTTGTGGGCAAAACGCGGGAGGCAATTGCACACAGCGTCCCACAAACAGTCATGGATTGAGTAACCAATTTATTTATTTTTTACCCCCAGAAAAGCGGTCCACTAATCAACTAACAACTGGGTTCCTACTTACTGCTAGGCAAACCGAGGCGCGTGGAGTAAGGAAACTTACCCAACGTTTTGCCCTGCCCGGGAATCAAACCCAGGTCTTTCGCTTGCCAGGCGAGTGCTCTAACCACTGAGCTATAGGACTCAGGATAGAGAGAATGACGTCTTAGTCACTACTTACACACCTCATTGGAGCTGTCAATATATTGGTGATTTTAGGCTCACTACTGCCTGGTTTAGCATACAGTAAAATGCAAATTAAGAACTTGACTGGGGCAAGTGAAAATAAATAAATCTCAATCATAGATGCAATGCTTACATACAGATGCAATCAATATATCTCCTTGATCTGTTTCCGCCTGCCATAATCTATCTGTAGGCATGTTGAAAAGGGAGGAAAATATTAATTTTCCTTCATATCAAGGGTTCTTCTTGAAGCTGAGCTGGTGCGGAAGCTTCAGTGAAGAACAGAGTCACTAATAAAGTCACTCTGTCAGACTGATGCTATGTTCTTCCCAAACACATGTCAATGTACTCTGGTGCTGTTTGTGAAAGAGAAGGGAAGTTTCTCCGTTGTCTTGGCCAACCATCCCATAAAATAAAATTGGTCACTCACTTTATGGTTGTCAGTGGGATATTGTGCAAAATTGGCTACTGCATTCGCCAGCAAAATATAGTTGCTACAATTTACAGCATATGTTGTGAAGCACTTCGAGATGTCTTCCCGATGTGAAAAGCTATATCAAATGCAAGGATTATTATTATTATTGCCTATGGCCCCACATCCAGTTACCATCATCCTATTTCTGAGATAACATCTACAGCGATTAAAAAATAAGTTTGAAAAACACACAGATAAAAGTGAAATGTTGGCTACCATTGTATTCTTGCTGCAGAAAACCAGTCACTCTCGTCCCAGCAGCTCTTTACATAGTGCAGATCATATCTCCACACAGCAGATCAATCTTATTAAAGGCAGTTCCCTCTCTACCCTTCTCCTCACTGCTTCACAAGGCGCTGATCACATGAGGTCACGGAGGAACTACCGCCATCCACTAAACAGGAAGAACTAGCTCAACAACTGCAGTTTATTTTGTTCAAAATATTTCCACATGTGACATAAATGGAAGAATCCGCCTTCCCAGAGTTTAATATCCTCGTAAACTTTATTTTCAACATTGAGTTTGGATTGTTCCTTTTAACCAAAAATCTTGTATAAAAATAATTGGAAGAAGGTTCCAGGCTTTATTCCCAATCTGAGCCAAGATCATTATTGGGGGGTGGGGGGGGTGGGGAGCTGACATTGAGGTACTGCAATCGCCAAAGGACTGGAAAGGGAAGTGTGGGGAGATGAAGAGGAGGAGACTGAAAAAAATCAACTAGGAGGTCTTACCGCTGATGACATTCAGTGACCTCGTGCACGTTAAGTTTTTAGTGGCACAAAATCTCATATTAACCTTAAAACCATGGATTTAAAATATAAATTCATGCAGAATTTTGGAAAACAGTCTTAGTAAGGTAGTTTTCCTCAGTTCCTTTCAATGAGGTGGAAATGTAGACAGATTAAGGCTGAATTCATGAAATAATAATCCTTGCATTTGACATAGTGGGTTATCACATCTTTGCGATGTCTCAAACTGCTTCACTGAATAGTGAATCGACTGTATATTTTGTGGGCGAAACATGTTAGCCAATGGCGCACACTTGTGTCTCAGAAACAGTTGTGGATTGAGTGACCAATTTTTTTTTAAGGGATTATTACCTCCAGAAAAGCGATCTACAAATTGACTAATAACCGGGTTCCTACTTACTGCAAGGTAAACAGAGGCATGTGGAGTAAGGAAACTTGCCCAACCTTTCGCCCTGCCCGGGAATCAAATCCAGGTTCCACAGGACTCCACAGAATTTAAGACTATTTCAAAATTCCATACAATCTTATATTTTAAGACAATAGTTTTAAGCCAAAAAGCTTCAGGTCTTCAGTGAGGATAGGACTGGGCTCAGCTACGGACTTCTTCTCTTCCCCCACCACCCCATTCCGATTCAGTACAAAAACGTTCAATGGCCAGTTAGCACTTAAAATTATACCCCACCATACGTCACAACTGGGGAAGGAGGAGAAAAAAGTTAGTGTGGACAGGCAGATATTGTGGAGTCCTGTAGCTCAGTGGTTAGAGCACTCGCTTTGCAAGCGAGAGACCTGAGTTCAATTCCAGGCAGAGGGCGAAACCTTGGGCAACTTTCCTTACTCCACACAGAGCCTAATAATAATCCCTCCAAAACCAAAAACAATAATAAATTGGTCATTTTCAATCTACGACTGTTTGTGGGACATTGCTGTGCGCAATTGGCTGCCGCGTTCGCCCACAAATATACAGTCAATTCACTTTACAGTGTGTTCTGTGAAGCGCTTTGGGACGTCCTTCCGACGTGAAAAGCGCTGTATCAAATGCAACGATTATTATTATTATTAAGGCGCTATATCAAATGCAAATATTATTATTATTTCACTTTTTTAAAAAGTTTTTGAAACTGCTCACTAGGAGGGAGGGAGGGAGGGAAGGAGAACCACAACTGATTTCTTCAGTGTTATTTACAGTGTTAACGGCATCATATGGGTATTATTGAAAAGAAAATATTGACTTACTTGGATTTGCCCTTTGCGACTGGGTCATCAGCAGATTGCAAAACAAAAAAGAAAAAAAAGGCCATTAAGCTTGATAATTGTTCATTGTTATTAAGAAATCCATTATAGACACAATGGAACACAAATTAACCTACCCTTGCAAGAAATTGTTCAACTCACATTAAATAAAACAAAACAGAACAACCCAGCCGCTCTTGTAAGGATCATTACAATTTATGGATAAATCCCACCTCGAAGGGTGCGCTTAGAAATCAGCTTATACTAAAGCACTTAAATAGCACTCTCATGTTGGATGAACATCTCAAAGCGCTTTATTGCAACCATGTGCAATTGTAACATAGAAACTGCCTATCCAAGCTCACATCTCTACTCTTCCTTCCCTGAAGACATGACTTATGCTGAGCTACATTTTTCATATTTTTCTAAACAGAGAGAAGAACGAAATCTGAGGATAATGGCCAAAGACCATTACTTTTGTGTTTTTTAAAAGGCCTTTGAATTCAGGAATAAAGCAGAAGATGAAAACCTTTCAGAACAGAGTTCCGAAGAGTGGGACAGAGTGACTGAAGGCCTAGCAACCAATGATGGGCTCACAACAGAGGTTTGGCTGAAGAAGATCCTTCAGCCTATTTTATCTCGTCCTACCATCTTCCTATTGCACGATCAGGCAATTGTTTTAAATGAAGCCACTGTCCTGACTTCAGACACCCTTCCTAATAAAAAAAGTCACTGGGAACACTCAACAGGTCAGGCAAAATCTAAGGAGAGAGGATTGTCATTTAACGCTTCAGGTCGAAGGGTTAGAAGGTTCAAACGAAAGGTCATCGACCCAAAATATCAACTCACTTTCCTCTCTTCATAGATGCTGCCTGACCTGCTGAGCGTTCCCAGCGACTTCTGTTTTTATTTCAGATTTTTACCCTTCCTAATAAGCTATTTCCAGTTTGTTTCACGTCAGGAGAATGTACCAAAACACTTCACCGGATACACTTGTAAAGTATAGTGACTGTGTGTTTTGTGGGCGAATGTGCCTACAAGTTTGTGCACATCAATATCCCACAAACACCCATGACCAATTTTATTTGGGGGATTGTTGGCCAGAAACTCCCTTCTTATTTTTCCAAATAGCTGCATATTGTTATGTCTCTGGAGGGAGTGAGGAAAGAGTAGTTAGTAGACCGGAAAAAGAGAAACAAAAGAGTACAAGGAGGAGAACAGGGCTGGGAAGGGAAGGCAGGGAAGGATCCTGGAGGGAGAATATCAGAGAACAAATCGAGATTAGAATAGAGCCTTAGTCTGAAGGGCTAATTTCTAGGATTCCATAGTAAAAGATATTGTACTTCACTGTGGAGCAGTCTTGCACCGATGGGAAACATTTCTTTAAAGTCCGATGGCCAAGTATGAATCAAGACTTTGCACTGAACGATTATCATGGTCAAGTGTTATCATAAGATACCAATACCTGTTATACACGTTTGCATCATGTTACCGTCACCTAGTGATAGGAAGGTGACACTGCAACCATTAATTACATGGTACTGTATTGTAGCTCAGTAAGTTCAATTTGAGGTCCACAGCATCCACACTTTAATCCTACTTGCTGGACTGAGACCAGCATATTTAGCATTGCAGACAGTTCTTAAGACATTGCCTAACCCTGAACATTTACAGATAATTGATGGATGATCTTTGCTTTTGCTATATTCCATATTTATTTTCAACAAGGGGAGGCAACAGTTGGAATGTGACTGATCTAAGACAGCAGGGAATTAATTCCAACTTTCTTACCTTCCCACATTAAGGCAGTTCACAAATTGGCTCTAACTTCAAATGCGCTGCTCTTTAACACTTTGGGCAAATCATTTGTCACCAGACATTTCCAAAGCCTTGGCACCACACACTTCTTTTAACAAGTTACTATATGATCCCTTCCAACTTCCATCAGCATTATAGTTGATTTAGACATTTCTATCAATGTAGAGATATCCTCTCCAGTACTACGACTTCTTTTTATCAGTCACCTCAGAAATGTCAAGCTCCTTTGGATCAAAGTTGTCCATTTTGTTACTGTGTTCACCACTGCACAGCTCTGAACTAATTATGCACTAAACCATACTCTTTCATTTTGGGGGGCGGGGGGAGAAGTAGAAAAAGCAGCAATAATTTGAAAGCACCTAGAACGATTCAGATGCAAGAATGTCTCAAAGCACTTGGACAGTGAGCATGGAAATGGATTTAAAAATGGTAACCAAAAGCAAGGGGAAAGGAACGTATATACTTTTAGGAGGTTTTTAAGGACAAGGAGCGATAGAAAGGCAAAGTGGCTTTGGGGGGGGCTTCAGAGGAAAGTCAATGGTCAGTGGTCAATGAAGGTTCAGTTTACAGAACAAATAAGTTTTTTGGCTTGAGACTTTCCAAGAATAGTAAGAGCCCCACCCAGTCAATTAACACACTTTGTTGGCTGAACATTTGCTCAAGCCATTGTACAAATATTCCAAGAAAATAAATACTGTGTGTTTGAACTTTAATCATTTGGGTCGAAGCCAACGTGTAAACTGCAACTGAAATTTGGTAATAAAAAATTCACAGAACATGTCAGCTTTATTTCATTTCCTAACAGGCAACTGGTACGGAGAGCATCTTCCAGAGATACCAAACCTCAACCTTCAGCCTATCTACTTTAATTAGTGTAGCTCTAGCTACACGCAGCAGATGTGGGTGCGGCAGGAAGAAGGTGTGACCTGATGCAATGTTCCAAAGCTAATATCTGCAAGAAAGAGCTGACTAGTTTCTGCAACCGACAAGACAGCTCAAACAGCTGAGGTGGCCATTTCTCCTGATCTTAGCCTTGATACCCCTGTCTTCCGATCAGAACTGTGCAGGAGTTTAGACAATTCTTCAATTCAATCTTGATTTGGAAGCTGGTTCCTTTGTAAGAGATTTGGAAAATAAGCTTTCCAACTGAGACAAAATTTAACAACTTCCCAAAACCTGCACAATTTCAGTTTATCCTTGCATTTGATTTAGTGTCTTATCGTGTCAGTCAGGTCTCAAGGGGCTTCACAGGACGCACAGCACTGTAAAGTGATGTGATTGTGTATATTGTGGGCAATTTGAAGACAACTGGATAATGACAATAATGAGCGCCTACCTGGCTTCACTGAGTCCCCATCCCTCAGAGGATTGGTTTCAAGATTATCATCCTCACTTTTAAATCCCTCCATGTTCTTGCCTCACCCTACATCTTCAACCCTCATGCCCTACCAACATGCCTGCTCCCTCCTCTGCACTCTCTGGAACTATCCCAGTCCCTTTACCTCTCCCCTTCCCTCGCCTCCTTCAAGGTCCGTCTGAAGAACCTTCCTTTTTGACAGTGCCTTTGGTCACCTTCCCCCTGCCAACTGCCAGCCCCCACACCCCCCCAACCCCAGCCCACTCCCTTGGCCCCCACCCACTCCGAACCCAACCTCAGCTCAGGTGCAAACCCCCAACTGTCAAGGGGCCTCGGGACGTCCTCCTGACGTGAAAGGCTCTGTACAAATGTCAGGTGTACTGACTGCACTGTGTAACAGAGATCCAGGAAAGTAATGCAGTCACTCCATCTACAGGATAAACCAGATAGTACGAACGTTACCCTTACATATTAAGACAAGTGCCTTAGCTGAACCCACAGCTGGGGGCAGGACTGACGTGCGAGTCGAGCAAGCACTGATGCAACAGGAAAAATTCTGTGGCGTCAAAGCTAATTGCTTCCTAATTAGGCTGAAAGTTCATGTGCATCATGAGCCCTATTCAGTTAACTCGTCAAAATAAATATCCGTTCACTTTGTAGTCTTTTACAAACATTCTGACACGGTTTTACTGCTTCAAAGTGACAAACTACCACTTGGCACTATTTTTTCCTGAGTTTAAAAACTGCCTGGCAGGGTACCTGCTCAGGAATAATGGTATGAACTGTTCTTAGCAGAATTATTGCAGGAAAAATATTGACACCTTTGAATGATTTGCTAAAATGATTTTTGAAAATAAAATTTTAAAGGGGAATGAAGCATAAAGTGAATACCTTTGGTCAAAGTACGCCCATAGGAAATCATAGCAAATAGAGATAAAGAACACCGGTACGTCTCAATCGCTTCCATGTATCAAGTGCTCTGGGACGCTACCCTGTGTGAGGGGCGCTATATAAATGCAAGTTGTTGTTAACAGTTTTACAGACAGGTATCCTGATTAAAGAGTAAGTATATTCCACTGAACAGTCACATATTGCTTAATATTATAAAGCAAGTCTTATGTACGTTTATCACTCTCCCTTTGTAATTCATTCTTAAAAACTGCTCGTCAGAAGCACAGAAGTTTCATACAGAACCATCCTAAGGGATTCTAAGAATGACATCGGGAGGTTGAGAGCAGCAAGTCTTCTAATTATGATTGTAGTTATAAACACTCACAGTGTGGCCATCTTGGCCCCTGTAGTTATAAGCGGTAACTATAAACACTGGGTGTAGTGACGGGCAGAGTCACAGTGACTGTGCACTGTCACATTCAGTGCGACTGCCTATAGCTAGAAACAATGTACGCATATGGTGTACGAAGTCAGTGTGACCACCGATGCGATATACTCTCTCAGTGTAATAGCCTCTAATATATAAACACTCAAAGTGTGACTGCCAAAGTGTATATAACCCTACGGTGCCACCTATAGTATATAATCTCTAAATATGGCAGCCTTGGGATGATAAACACGAAGAGTGGCCATTTATTATATACAATCTCTCAGTGTGACCACCTACAGCATACAGATAGTGTGTGACTGCCAATAACATAAACTCTGTATATGACTTGGTATATAATAAAACCTGTGTGCCCTATTTTGTATGATCTATCAGTTTAGCTGCCTATAACATATAAACATGTATCGCTTATAGCATATAAAGGATCAGTGCGGCTGATTATAATATACAAACTCTCTGTGGATCCCCCTCCACATTGTAATTTCTCAATATGGCCACCTATAGTACT